GGGGGGGAATTATAGTTTATATTTAAACTTTTATACACATTTTGTATTGTCATTTATGTTGAATATATCTATTCTGTCGGAATTAAAGTTATTTGGAAGGTTTCAAATGAAATAAATAGAATTGTTTTGCTATCTTCATTCATAAAGCCAAATAATGGCCATAAAAGAGGGACTTCAAAGGTTAAAAAGAATGCAATGTAATGTCAGTGCAACCGATGTAGAGTGATAAGTTATATTTTAGTCACTGTTAGAGCTAATTGCTCTCATGTTTCATAACAATATATATCATAACAATATATATATATATATATACATACATATATATATATGTATGTATGTACATACATATATATATATATATATGTGTGTATGTACATACATACATATATATGTATGTACATACACATACATATATATGATATATGTGTGTATGTACATACATACATATATATGTATGTATATATTATATTCTTCTTATTATTGTAATAACATTTTAAATATTTGAATTTAATACAATGTTTTACTAATATCACTAATTGGTCATGAAATGTAATAATGCATGCCATTATGGTGTGCTTAATTTTTATTACACTTTCTTATATCCATCTTATAATTGTTGTGTCATAGCTGTTGTAATAGTTCTCCACTATGTTATAACATGTTGTTATATCAATCTTATAATCTATCATGTTATAGTTATTGTGATTGCACTCTGCTATACCATAACCATGACACTATGTTGGATCATGACTATGATAATTGTTGGTGATGCGTGCCAGAAAATTCACGGTGGTAGAGTAATGAATTATCGTCTTAGAGTTGCATGAGGATTCAACACACTCACATAAAAGAAGAGAAATAAGCAGGAGGAGACATCTCAACTTTTTATGTGAAAAACCCTTAAAAGGGGAAAAAACCACAAGGCTTAGCCCAGTTGAAATAATATACTATGAATGACGAATACACATGTTCATTCTTCTCTTAAATTAGGGAAGATGAAATTACAAAGTTGTATAACTATAATCTGACTACAATTTTTGCTGACAACATGTTGCAACGATTATTCTTGATTGTTATGGGTAGTAGTCCATTCTGATGTTGTAGACAGTTGCTCCAGAAGCGTTGATTGGCCAGAGAAACCATAGTAAGCAGTTGCGGGAACTGTGAACCACATAAGCCATAATAGTGAGTATGATTAACGTCCGTAGGGGCGAGTGTGAACGAGCTGCATGAGCTATGAACAACATAGGTCGTAGGGGCGAGTATGAATGATGTTCGCAAGCCGCAGGGGGCGAAGTCGGGAGCCACACGAGTTATGAACCACGTAGTTCGTAGGGGCGAGTATGAATGACGTCCGCAGGCCGCGAGGGACGGAGTCGGGAGCTGCATGAGCTGATGACCACGTAGGTCGTCGTTGGCACATGGACCGTAGTGACGAGCTATTGTTCCACAGAAGAGTGTAGACGACGGTCTGCAGTGGTCGACGACAGTCTGCGGTGGTCGACGACGGTCGACAGTGGTCGACGACAATCGACGGTGATGCTCAACTGCAGCTCCTCTTCAAAGCCTCAAACTCTCTTTCTAGGCTTCAGCCCCTCCTGAGAGAGGAGAGACTCTATTTATTTATAGTGTTCTGTGTGCAATTAATGCAAGAATATGATCCATTTTGATCGGACGGTCTGGAAGCTTCTCTCAATCAAATGACGATTAATGGATATTTGGGTGCCCTAATGATGTCGGAATTGAGTGATCTTGGGCTCGTTGGATTCGTCTTGTCAAACACTCGATTCAACTATAACCTTGCTAGATTTGATATCAGTTTGACCTTCCAAATGTGATAAAAAATCTTCCAAGAATAGTTTAATGACTTGTTTTGGGCTTGATTTAGGGCCCGTTTGAGGCAGCTTATTTAGTGCGGTGGCGTTTTGAAAACGCACTTGACCTGTTTGGGTAAACTGCGTTTTGACAGTTTATGCGTTTTCAAAACGCTGAAAATAACGTTTCACACCGCACCTATCTAGGTGCGGTGACAACTTTCTAGCTGCGGCCTGATTTTTTCAAAAAAAAATAAAAAATTGTAATAGTCACCACGCCTAGCTTATCAGCAGATTATTCAATAAGCTGCAACTGCCCCAAACAGACCCTTAACTCGGATTGAACTAACTTTGATATCATTGGGTTCGTCTCATCGAGCAGGTCAGTTTGACTACAAGTTTACTGATATCGAAACTCTGGATGACTGTTAACCCGTTTTAGGCTTTTGAATTGATTGCAGGTAGGAATACTTTCTTCCAAGGTTGATTCTTGTTGAACGATCAATTGCTCGTGGAGCAATTGCTGAGCGCTCAGTTCATTATTCCTCTCTCTACTTTTTAGATGAGTAGGTTTTGTGTCATCTCTTCATTTTATAAGTTTTTGTATCAACTCTTCATGTTGTGAAAGACTCCATAGATGGGATGATTATATCCACAAGTACCAATGAAAATTGTTGTGTAATTATGATTTTCTTTGTAGACGAGACTTTCTTTGATGTGCAAGGTGAAATGCATGACATGCAAGTACTTCAACAGGTTTAGGCCTCATGATGTAGCTTTGAACAAACATAACGATGGATCTAGCATTTGTGATCGGAATCTCTAAACCATCGAGCTGGATAGTGACTGTGTATAGTGGGATTCACTAAGCTAGACCATTTGTCTTTTCAAGATATAACTTTCTAGGGTATCAACCAATACTAAGGCTTAAAACAAGTATCACGCTCTGATGCTTGCCTTGCAATCCTCGTCTTTTTATTTGGATCTTTCGATGATAAATTCTTGGAGTAGAGAACCAAGTTTATGCCTCGATATTCACCAAACATGGTTGATGTATGAATGAAATTAAAATTTTATTATTATCTTCTCTTTTAAGTTTCTACCATAGCATATATATAGCCAGAGACGGAAAAAAAGAAATCTTCCTTAGCAAAGTCGTCAGAAATCTGTGCGACGACACACAACGATTTTTTTATAATTCTTACAATAGCAAAAAAATGATTTGACAAAGAAGTACAGAGAAAACTTCCCCAATGGATTTGCTAGGAATTTGTGATTTCTGAAAATTTGATGCATTAACTTCCATCCAAAGGAAGGCGGAAATGAAATGAGTGAGGGGTGAGGGGCTAAAACAATAAAGGAGACGCTCAAGCATGGTGATTTGATTTTTTTGTTCTTAATATGTATTATAGACTCGAATTCTGGTGTTTCATAAGCTCACGCAATCAATTTTGTGAATGGATGACGTTTAAGCAGCTTCAGCATGTGTTGAACTGATAACCCATTTTTTTTCGTAGTGCTTGCTCATTTTGATCATGGAAGGCCACTTCTTAGATAAATTCGATATCCCGGATATTCTCGTGCTTTCTGTTATATGAATGAGAGTTATTTGAATCACTTCAGTAGTTGTAGAAGTATTTCCATTTGATTTATACAACATTACTTTCAATCAGTCATTATTTCACGTTCGATTAATTCAACTTGTGAAATAGATATAGAGGTCAACATACATAGATTCAAGAGCATTTCTTCTTCTAGATGCATTGTACTACTTTTCTTACATTTTGCCACTTTTGTATGAAGTTACTTTTCAGTTTTACTTGACTAATCTGATTATTGAGGTATTGGAATCCTCTATGTAAATCAATGGTAGTCAATGAATTGTGAGCACACAAGT